GGTTCGGGGTGCTGAGCAGTCTCTCACACCACAGCAGCTTCGTGACTGGTACGTCCGGCGCTTTCGCCGTCCTAGTGGCTCGGCTGGAGCTGGGGGTACTGGAGCTGCCGGGACTGGTTGTTCTGGGCGCACTACGACTGGAGCTGCTGGAGCTGGGGACTCTGGAGCTGGCGGCGCTAGCGGAGTTGTAGCTGCCGACCCTGGGGGTGCTGCTGCTGCTGGTGCTGCGGACCCACCTGGTGGAGCTGCTGCTGGAGCTGAGGACCCGAGCGGTGGCGCTGCTGCTGGTGCTGGGGACCCGGACGCTGGAGTCTCTTCTGCTTCTGGAGACGCTGCGCGGCCGCGGCCGTACTTCGTACCGCTCCTTCAGCAGGTTCTTGGGCAGGCTCCTCCTCCTTGTCCTCCTCCCTCCGTAGAGTGTCCTCCGACTGTCCAGCCGCAGTCACAGTTACCGCCTGCCTCGCCTCTCCCTGCTCCCTCTCCTTACACTGGTCCCACAGGAGGTCTTACGGAGCGTCGTGAGCCTGAGTCTCGTCCTGCGTCGCCTGTCCGTACTGCTCGCACTGGTCGTCGTGTCCGTCGTGAGCGTCCTCCTCCTGTCCCAGGCACTCACTACATGACTCTGCGTCCCTCTACTGCTCCTCAGCGTGTCCCTCTGCCGTCTCCTCCTGCGTCCTCTTTGCCTGCTGTTCCGGACCCTGAGTCTGACCGGTATCGTGCTGAGCACCCTACTGTCACGCGTCTCCTAGCTACTGTTGTCACTGACCCTACCTTTGAGTCCTCGGCTGCGTCTGCTCTGGTCGCTGAGTTGGTTGACTTTGCTGCTGCCTCTCGTCTAGACTACGCTGCTCGCCTTGTTGCTGGGTCTGAGTCTGCGTCTGTCTGTCCTCCGTCCGTCGGGGGTGAGTGTGCTCTTGGCACGGACGTCCTTGAGGACAGGCAGGAGGACTTTGACTCTCTCGCGGCTGCTGTACCTCATCTCGTGGCCTGGTTGCTTGCCCCTGAGGGAGACCCGGATGCACTAGACATCCCCACTCCGCGCACTTACGCAGAGGCGATCTCGGGTCCCTACTCCTCTCAGTGGCAGACAGCCATGGACGCAGAGATGGCATCCTGGAAGTCCACAGGCACCTACGTCGACGAGGTTCCCCCTCCTGGGGCGAACATCGTCGATGGCATGTGGATTTTCAGGGTGAAGCGGCCGCCAGGTTCTCCGCCTGTCTTCAAGGCTCGTTACGTTGCTAGAGGCTTCAGTCAGCGTCAGGGGGTCGACTTCTTCCAGACCTTCTCCCCCACCCCGAAGATGACCACTCTTCGGGTTCTGCTGCACGTTGCTGCTCAGCGTGACTACGAGCTTCACTCTCTTGACTTCAGCACAGCGTTCCTGCAGGGCAGCCTGCACGAGGAGATCTGGCTGCGCCGCCCACCTGGCTTTACTGGGTCGTTTCCTCCTGGTACCCAGTGGAGCCTCCGCCGGCCAGTCTACGGTCTCCGCCAGGCGCCACGCGAGTGGCACGACACACTGAGGACTACACTTGCGGCTCTTGGGTTCGCGCCGTCTACTGCTGACCCGTCGCTGTTTCTGCGCACAGACACGTCGCTGCCGCCGTTCTACATTCTCGTGTACGTCGACGACTTGGTCTTTGCTACTGCTGACACTGAGGCACTCGCTCATGTGAAGTCGGAGCTGCAGAAGAGACACACCTGCACTGACCTGGGTGAGCTGCGTAGCTACCTTGGCTTGCAGATCACCCGGGACAGAGCTCGCCGCACCATCACCCTGACTCAGTCACACATGGTGCAGCAGGTCCTTCAGCGCTTCGGCTTCCAGTTCTCCTCACCACAGGCCACACCTCTGGCTACCAGCCACTCGCTCTCAGCTCCACCTCCGGACGAGTCCGTAGAGCCGAGTGGCCCGTACCCAGAGCTTGTGGGCTGCCTCATGTACCTGATGACTTGCACGCGACCTGACCTCGCGTACCCTCTTAGCATCCTTGCTCGTTACGTTGCGCCTGGGAGACACAGGCGAGAGCACTGGGAGGCTGCTAAGAGGGTGCTGCGCTACTTGTGCAGTACATCAGGCATGGGGCTGGTGCTTGGAGGACACGACAGAGTTGTCCTCACTGGCCACTCGGACGCTTCTTGGGTGGACGACCTGGCTACGCAGCGGTCGTCACAGGGTTACACCTTCAGCCTTGGCTCTGGTTCTGTCTCGTGGCGGTCCACCCGCTCTTCCTCTGTTCTCGGCTCTAGTTGTGAGGCTGAGATCTACGCCACAGCCATGGCTGCACAGGAGTTACGCTGGCTCACCTACCTGCTGACTGACTTGGGAGAGCGGCCTAGTTCTCCTCCAGTTCTGTACGGTGACAACAAGGCGGCTCTTGCCTTGTGTAAGGAGCACAGACTGGAGCACAGGACGAAGCACATTGCTCTTCGCTACTTTCTTGCTCGAGAGCTTCAGCAGCGCGGTCAGCTTCGGCTTGTGTACGTGGACTCGAAGGCCAACACTGCTGATATCTTCACCAAGGCGCTCCCGCCTAGTGATCATCAGCGGCACTGTACTTCTTTAGGCCTTGTGTCCACGTTTCCTCACTTGCTCACTGCTTGACATTCTTTGTACTGTACTTTATATATATCTTGTTGCTTGCTTGCTAGATTTTGATCACTGTGTTGCTTGTCTTGTACTATATCTAGCACTGCATGTGAACTGGCCTTGTGGCCTTTGCTTGTGCTCGGAGTGTGGTGACGTTGTGATCCACCCTGGGCTTGCGTTGCTTTGCTGGACTGGTCTTGTGACCCTTTGTTCTCCCCCACTTTGCCTATGGGGGTGTGTTAAATTGTAATGTGTTATATGTTGGTAGGCTGTAGTGGGGTAGCCAATATGGGGTACAACCCCAACTAGGGTTTCATATTTGTACCCAAACTTCTGCTAGTTCATTCATTCTTGCCTAGTTATTCTGAAAGACCATAGGATAGAACTAGAACCGGGGGCACAGCCAACCGTACAGCGCCAGTTCAGATTGACCTAACCTAAACTGGACGAACTACGAAAGCAGTTGGACTACCTGCTCAAGAAAAAAGTAATTCACCTGAGTTCGTCGCCTTTCGCCGCACCGATACCGTTCACACAGAAGAAAGATGGTGGTTTTCGCATATGAATAGATTACCGCGCACTGAACTGGTTACGATCATGTCCCGTTACCCCATCCAGTGATTCGACAAATTGATAGACCAGCTTTTGCACAGACCGAGTCTTCTCGAAAATCGACCTTTAAGGGGGTTATCATCAGATTGAACTCAACCCACCCGACTACCCAAAAACCACCCTCTGCGCCCGCTACGGGAATTTCAAGTACACCATAATGCCCTTCGGACTGACCAACGCCCAGGTCACCTTCCAAATGACCATAAACAAAGCCTTTTGCTCGCTTTTAATCGCCCACTTAACATGCCACGATGCTGAGAGGGTACGCGAGGCCAGGTCGAGTGCAAGTCATCAGGTGAATGAGGCAGCCCACAAGCTCTGGATACGGACCACTCGGCTCTACGGACTCGCACGAAGGTGGAGCTGAGAGCGAGTGGCCTGTAGGCAGAGGAGTGGACTGTGGCAAGGAGAACTGGAAGCTGAAGCGCTGAAGGACCTGCTGCACCATGTGTGACTGAGTCAGAGTGATGGTGCGCCGTGCTCTGTCCCGGATGATCCGCAAGCCAAGTTAGCTACGCAGCTTACCCAGGTCAGTGCAAGTGTGTCTCTTCTGCAAATCCGCCTTCAGTAGGGCCAATGTCTTAGTGTCAGAAGTAGCAAAAACCAAGTCGTCGACGTACACGAGAATGTAGAACGGCGGCAGTGAAGGGTCAGTGCGCAGAAACAGCGACAGGTCAGCAGTCGAAGGAGCAAACCCAAGAGCCACAAATGTACGTGCCACTCTCGGGTCGCCTGGCGGAGACCGTAGACTGGCCGCCTGAGGCTCCACTGGGTACCCTCAGGAAACGACCTAGTGAAGCCAATTGGGCGGCGTAACCGGATCTCCTCGTGTAGGCCGCCCTGCAAGAAAGCTGTGCTGAAGTCAAATGAGTGGAGCTCGTAGTCAAGCTGCGCTGCAACGTGCTGTACAGTAACACCAGAAGAGTGGTCATCTTCGGGGTGGGGAAGAAGGTCTGGAAGAAGTCGACCCCCTGTCGCTGACTGAAGCCTCGTACAACGTAACGCGCCTTGAAGACAGGCGGAGAACCCGGCGGTCGCTTCACCCTGAAAATCCACATGCTATCGACTAAGTTCGCCCCAGGAGTGGGAACTGCGTCGACGTAAGTGCCTGTGGACTTCCAGAATGCCATCTCTGCGTCCATGGCTGTCTGCCACTGAGAGGAGTAAGGACCCGTGATCGCCTCTGCGTAAGAGCGCGGGGTCGGGATGTCAAGTGCATCCGGGTCTCCCTCAGGGGCAAGCAGCATGGCAGCGAGATGAGGTACAGCAGCCGCAAGACACTCGAGCTCAAACTGCCTGACAGTGACAACAATGGCGAGAACACGCGTGACAGTGGGACTAGCAGCACGACCACGGTCAGGAACGTCAGGAAGTGAGGACGCAGGTGGAGACGGCAGGGGGACACGCTGTGGAACAGAGGAAGGACGAAGTGCCATGGTGTGAGTGTCGGGGACAGGAGGAGGACACGGACGAGGAACATGACGACCAGTGTGAACAGCGCGAACAGGCGAGGCAGGACGAGACGCAGGCTCACGACGCTCTGTAAGAGAGTCTCTCTGCCCAGTGTAAGGAGAAGGAGCAGGCAGTGGGGAGTCTGGCTGTAACTGTGGCTGTGACTGGTCAGGCGGTAGACACAGTAAGGGAGGAGTAAGGTTAGTAGAAGACGGGAGACTAAAAACCTGGCGAAGCACCGAGCCATGTGGTGGCAGAGACGACGGTGGCGGCGAAATGAAAAGCGGTCGCCGCTGTGCAGTACCACCAGCACCAGCACCACCAGTGCCTCCAGCACCAATAACTACAGCTCCAATGTCTCCAGCACTAGTACCTCCAGCTCCAACGCCTCCAGCACCAATACCTCCAACAACAGCACCACCAGCACCAGCGCGTCCAGCACCAGTGCCTCCAGTAGCTCCAGTCCAGCTCCAGCTCCTCCAGCACCAGCACCTCCAGCACCAGCACCTCCATCACAAGTACCACCAGCTCCAGCGCCTCCAGCACCAGCGCCTCCAGCACAAGCGCCTCCAATACCAGCACCTCCAGCACCAGTACCACCAGCTCCAGTACCACCAGCTCCAGCGCCTCCAGCACCAGCGCCTCCAGCACCAGCGCCTCCAGCACAAGTACCACCAGCTCGAGCGCCTCCAGCACCAGCACCTCCAGCACCAGTACCTCCAGCTCCAGCGCCTCCAGCACCAGTACCTCCAGCACTAGTACCTCCAGTACCAGTGCCACCAGCACCAACGCCTCCAGCACCAGCGCCCCCAGTAGCTCCAGAACCTCCAGCTGCAGCGCGTCCAGTACCAGCACCTCTTGCACCAGCACCTACAGCACCAGCGCCTCCAGCACCATCACCTCCAGTACCAGTGTCGCCAGCACCAATGCCTCCAACACCAGAGCCTCCAGTAGCTCCAGAGCCTCCAGCTCCAGCACCTGCAGCACCAGCACCTCCAGCGCCAGTACGTGAGCGGCACCACCGATGGTATCACTCACGAAGCTGCTGTGGCGAGAGAGGCTCCTACCGACGAGACTGTCGCTGCTGTCCGTCCTCAGAGCCACGAGAAGTGGTACGAATGACTCCACCGCCACTAGAACGCTCAGCACACCCAGAACCAGCACCCCCAGACTCAGCACCCCCAAAACCAGCAAGCCCAGAAGGGTCGCCTGCAGTGTCCACACCCCCAGGGTCACCACTCGCAGCTGCACCAAGGTCGACCGGGACAGGCTGCAAAGGCAGCGAAGACTGTCGAGGCGGGAAACCCGGAGGGGTCTCCAAGCGAGGTGAACGGTGAGTGGTCGCTGTGTCGTCAGCAGCAACGTTGCCCCCATCTGAGCTAGAGGTGTCAGAGGTGACCTCCAAAGGCTCAACCAAAGAGGGTGGGTCCATTTGAGACACACTTGAGGGAGCAGGACCGTGGGGGGGAGGGGTTCTACCGGGGGAGGACCTGGAGCGAGGAAGAGCGGCGGGGGGGGAGGGGGGGGGGGGGGAGCGGAGAAGTGCGGTAAGGAAAGAGACGGTAGAAGGAAACCGACTCGTCAAAGGTGACGTCCTGAGAGGACAGGACGCGGCGCGAGGCTGGGTGGTAAAACTGCCAGCCAGGCGCGTCAGTGGGAAAGCCAAGGAAGACGCAGGGAATGGCGCGAGCAGAGAGCTTGTCCGCAGAGATATCGCGGACAAGGGCATGCGAACCCCAGACCCGAAACGCCGACGCATCGCCAACCTCCCCCGTCCAACACAGTGTAGGCGAGGTTTCCGGCACGGAGACACGAGGCTAGAGGTTGAGTTGATGTGCAGCGTGTCGGACCGCAAACGGCCATAGAAAATGGGGAGCAGCCGCATGGATCATGGAGGTGCGAGCAACATCCATGACCAAGCCAATGCGGCGCTCAGCAATCCCATTCTGCTGCGGGGAGGCCGGAAGCGTGAACGACTAGGCGATGCCCTCCCCAAGACAAAAAACCTCAAGCTGACGGGGGGTAACTCACCGCCTCTGTCAGAGTGCAGACGCAGGACACGAAGGTCCTGCTGAAACCAAGCGCGGAGCTGGCGACTGACAGTGCGGAGCCAGGGGATCAAGACAGTAGGGACATCCGCCGTTGCGCAAGGGGAAGACGACGTGTACATCTTGTAGTCGTCAACAACCAGCAGAAAGTAGCACTCACGGTCTTGTCCACTGATGCGGGCTAGGCCCCACACGTCCATGTGGAGAGTCTGCAGAGGAGCAGTCGTCGGGGGAAACGAGGAGGAGTGAGGAGCGGCGCGCTGCCGCCCCTCGACGCAGGGAAGACACGGCGGTGCAAGCGAGCGCGGGAGAGGGGGCAGGGACCTGGGGAGGCTAGAGACAAGGAGACATGAGTGCATGCTACGTAGACGCGGCAAGGAGGGGTGACCAAGATGGTGGCGCAAGAGAAGAGTCTGGTGCGTGAGAAGCCGACACGAGCAAGACGCAGCTACCTGACCGGACGTAGACACCTGACTAGACGCAGTGACCTGTGTAGGTGCAGTAGTCAGTGTGTACAGGCTAGACCCAGGCCTCCGTGTGAACGAGGCGAGGTGCTCGCCAGTGCGAAAGTCTGTACAGATCGCCACAAGCCCACCCCCAGGAATAGTCACTGTGACAAACTGGTCCTGGAGGACAGCGGTGCTCACAAAGTTCGTGGAGAACGAGGGGAGGTAGAAACCTGTGAGGGAACCTGAGGGGGCTGCCGGACACGGGAGAACAGTGGAGGCACGTGCTACCACTGGGTCAGCCAGGGAGACTAGGACATGTGCTGTGAGCGGTGTGATTTTTTGTGCAATCGCGGAAGAAACAACGAATGCCCCCTGAGCCCAGTGTAAAGGTGTGCAAAGCTTCCACAAAAGCTGCCCCTGTGCTACCAGGCTCATAGGCACCTAGACTAGTAGCCTCTGCACTACCGAGGACACGTCTTTGAGAAACCTACGCACGAGGCTGTTGCTGTGAGAGGGCCTCACGGCGAAGCCGCTGCTGCTGCTGCCTAGTGCTGAAAAGATCATAACCTCCACCACCAGGACTACCCTGCAGAATAACCCACTCACGAAGCTGCTGCGAGAGTCTCCGGCCGACGCTGCTATTGGCGCCCTCCCCCAGAGTCTGCCACTAATTTGATAGTGGCCATGACAGAAAGCGACAGTCAGTAGCAGCGACGCAAGAGCTGAAGGAGCGACCGCAGCGGTGGCAGCTGAAACGGTAGGTGCAGTGGCAGTAGTTGCTCGCCGGAAGAGCAGACAGGAGAGGGGCGCACGGGGCGCGAGTGGCAGAAGGGGCAGCATGACGCGGCGGAGTGCGGGGCAGGGCGGCGTGGTGGCGCGCAGGGCAGGGCGTGCGCGGGGCGGCGCAACGCAGGGCAGGGCCAGGCACGCGCGGGAGGTGTGACACAGAACAGGGCGTGCGTGGGGCGGCGCGACGCAAGGTAGGGCAGGGCGTGCGCGGGCGGCTCGACGCAGGACGTGCGCGGGCGGCACGACGCAGGGTAAGGCGTGCGCGGGGCGGCGCAACACAGGGCAGGGCAGGGCGCGCGCTGGCGGCGCGGCGCAGGGCAGGGCGTGTGCGGGGCAGTGCGACGCGGGGCAGGGCAAGGCGTGCGCTGGCGGCACGACGCAGGGCAGGGCAGGGCGTGCGCGGGGCGGCGCGACGCAGGGCCGGGCATGCACGGGGCGGTGCAACGCAGGGCAGGGCAGGGCTGGGCAGGGCGTGCACTGGCGGCGCGACGCAGGGCAGGGCGTGCGCGGGGCAGCGCAACGCGGGGCAGGGCAGGGCGTGCGCGGGGCGGCGGGTCAGGCTACAAGCGTGGGTTAGCGTGTACGATAGGGTGCGGGGTAACCGCAGTCAGTCACTAGCTAATGGTGGGCCCTAGAAAAAAAGACGGTCCTTCGGACCTACATACTCTGAAACCATGTCAGAAACTAACGAGCAGGAATGGGCTTCACTAGCAAGGGATCAAAGTACAAATGCCTAACCCTAAAAGGTTTGTACTCTATATGGGCTACCGCACTGCAGCCTACAAACATATAAATTAGTTTTGACACCATCCGCGAGGCTTATACCACTGCCCACAAATACACGGATCTTCTGCGACAAGAAATCATTATGACAGCTAGGCAACTAATGCGGCTCGACACGAAGAATCTCAGCCTACCCGGCTCATCAAAGCTACGGCCACGATTTTGTGGACCTTTTCGCATCATCAAGACGGTGAGACATGTCAAAGCGAAGCTGCTGCTACCCGACGATTGGCGTGTGTACGACAACTTCCATGTCAGCCTCCTTCGCAAGTTCGTGCCTGCCACGACGAACATTGCCCGCCAGAACATCGCCTCGAAAGCTCACCCTGTCCCGGAACCAACACTCAACCTGTCGATCTTTTTGGCGCATCAAGTTCAGCTTGACGCCTCTGGCCGTCACGTGGACTTTCTCGCCCGTTAGACTAATGGCACTAGTGAAGACGACACTTGGGTGCCGTCCACTTCGCTTGAAGCTTCCCCGCTTCTTGGTGATTACCTCGCTCTCAAGCCAGTGTCAGAGGTCCACTGGAGATTCCCGATTGATCCTAGGGAAGGGTTATAGGCACGTCGGCCTGGGGGGTTATGGGCGCACTCACCCGTTACACAAATAAACCCTTTTATCCCAGTAGTTAGTGGCTGGGATTCTTACAACCAGCTGATATTGACCACCTTTCTTAAAGCCCGAGTACAGCAGGGTGTTTTTCAAGTTCAAGATTCTTGAACTTGAAGTCGCGAAAAACAGGGTAACCCGTTTTGGTTTGAACAGGCTCTCGCTACCCAGGGACAAGCTCCTGCGACGGTCACTCCTGATTGGTTTCTGTGACCTGTCGCACAACAGATCAGCCCATCGCCCACAAGGTTGCCTTGATCTCTTCTCACATATCTTGAGTACCAATTAGTACTCCTAGTCTACTAGAATACTCACGTAACTAGGAAAAGCGCGGCTGGACGATAAAAGCTAACTCAGGTAGAATCGTTTTTTTTCCGCCCAACACTTAGTCGCTCCCGCTGTCGGTCCAATAGCTGAGCAGCACAACTTCATGCCAAACACGCTATTACCGTACCATTTTTGCATGCCAGACACGGATCCGTTCTAGCGCACGACACGCGCAATGCTCATAAATGGCATTCCCGAGTCACGACTCGCGATCCCGCTTACATTCCCTCCCGTCGTTTGATCCCTACCATCACTGATCACTCGTCTCTCCTTACTTGCCGCCCTCGCTTCCTCTCTTGTCGTCACGTTGGTTGCCCATAGCCCCTCTCCATCACCACGGCGTCTCCTTCCTTTGGGCCACGTTAGGTCCGTACTTTGCCTTTCCGTCACCCTCGTCTCCCCTGGCCGTCTCCTATTTCGCCTCGTCGACCGTAACTCTCCTTTAAAAAGTGTTCTGTTTCGCATCAATCTCAGTTTTTTTTTTTTTAATACACATATATTTTACTCACCCGTATTTCCCCGCTTCGCCCTTAATTCCATTATCCCCCTCGCCCGCAAATCTCCACGTCACCGCGATTCCCCATGTCGCCGCGTTTCCCCATGCCGCCGCAATTCCCCGCGTTGCCGTCGCTCTCGTCTCCCCCCGACGCCCGGCTTCTCCACCACGCACCACACGCCTTCCCTCCCACATACACCACCCACCTTCCTCTCCCCACACCACCTACCTTCCCCCCCACACAAAACCGACCTTCCCCCCCCCGCACCAACCGCCTTCGCCCAACACCACACGCCCTCGTGTTCCTCCTCATACCCGCCCCCTCCTCCCCCCCTCATACCCGCCCTCCTCCCCCCCACATACTCGCCCTCCCCACCCCCACATACCCGCCCTCCTCCCCCCCACATTCCCGTCCTCTCCCCCCCCCACAGACCCACCGTCCTTCCCCCCACGTACTCTCCATCCTTCCCCCCACATACCTGGGACAGAGGAGGAGCGTAAGAGGGGGAGGGGGAGAGGGGGAGGGAGAGAGTGGGAGGGACGGAGGGGGAGGGACACAGGGGGAGGGACAGAGGGGGAAGGAGAGGGACAGAAACAATGGGGGAGGGAACGAGGGGGAGGGACGGAAGGGGAGGGAGAGAGAGGGAGGGAGAGGGGAGGGAGAGAGGCGAGGGAGAGAGGGGAGGGAGAGAGGAGGGAGAGAGAGGGATGGACAGATGGGGAGGGACAAAGGGGGAGGGACAGAGGGGGTTTAAAATATGGTGTTGGATGTGAGGGGGTTGGATGGATAGTGTGAGACAGGGGGGTGATTTGAAATTGGGGGATGGTGTGAGATGGAGGGATTGTGTGCGATGGAGTGATGGGGCATGGGATGAGATGGCGTAGTCTGCTCATTGCTCACCCCCGTCCTCTCTTCCTCGTCTCTCACAC